TTTCGTTTTTTTTTTTTTTTTTCTTGTTTTATTTTATTTATTTATTTTATAAGCATGCAAGCTAATAAATTAAACATGTTTTTAATTTTTAGGACCAAAAATCGCAATTTTGCAGCTCATACGGCCGTCCCAAAACAAGGCTTAATTTCACACGGCCGTGTGAAAAATCTGGAAGCTACTGCCCAATTTTGGCAAATCGCACGGCCGTGCGGAAAATAGTTCAAAATCTCATACGGCCCTGCGAAACTCAACAGAAGCATAATAAAGGCGAGGGTGGAGAGAAAACCGGAGACGGCCAAGACGACTTATTCAGGTGTATTCTATCCTTAAACTTCGTGTTAATTACATTGAGGGCAATGTAAATTTTAAGTTTGGGGGTGGAAAATTACTTGTTTCTATGTGCTTTAATTTTTTAGTTTGCATGCCTTAAGTTTTTTTTATTTGAGTTATTTTATTTTAGTTTTTTCTTTCGAAAAAAAAAAAATTGCTTGAGATAAATGCTTCGATGAATCATGATGATGAAAGATGGTCGATGTTTAATTATGAAATTGCTTGTTTTATCTTCATTTTGATCGAATTTTGGTGAGCTTTTGATTCAAAGTGTCGTAAGAAGGAGTCATTGTTAGGAATCTCGAATTATGCGTTGCTTTGGTTGAAAGTTTTGTGTTTTAAAATTTGAGTTAATTTATGTTATATCATATGCTATTCGGTTTTAGAACTTGTCTTATGAATTTATAAAGTGAAATATTAAATTGTTGAGTAAATTGGGAAGTGATTTGGGCCATCTTTGAACCGCTTGAGCCTTTCAAGCCTACCTTTAAATTTTTATCATTCGAACTTTGATTGAGCCTTGGAGAAACGGTGTTCTTTCTTTTAACCAATGTGTATAAGGTAGAATAAGTGGAGATTTTTGAAAAATTAACCCTTGGAGTTCGGTCGAAATTTTTTTATAAGGTCCTTCTTCTTCTCCGAAAAGAAAAAAAAAAAAGAAAAAAAAAAGGAAAAAAAAATTAAAAAAAAATATATATATATATAATAATAATAAAAAAATAATAAAAAAGAGAAAGAAAAAGAAGAAGAAGAGACTAGAAGGGGAAGTAAGGACTAGTTGTTGAGTTGTTTTGAAAGCTCGATCCATTGTTTTAAGAGCAAAAGTGGAGACTTTTGAACTCTTAAGAATCGAGTTAATTAAAGTCCTTAGAGGTGAATTCATTGTTTCAAACGCCTATCTTTCAAAATTTGGCGTAATCACCTCAATTCAAGAAGCATAGCCACCTATACCCATATCTCCTACCTCGAACCAAAAAGCCCAACATTTGAAAGCCAAAAAGTCCCAATGATCCCAATAGCTCAATTATTTGATACTAGCTGAGTAAAAATTTGGTGAGTCTTTGGAGTTGAATATTATTATGTAAGTATAAATTTTCTCCAATTTTAATGTACAAATATGGGATACTTGAAGCGATAGCATGGTTTGTGGTTTTTAGCAATGGTGAGTGAATACGTATCTTTGAATTACGAGCTTGTAAATTTTTGAGAATTGTCATGATAATTGCAAGTTCTGAAAAAATGAAAGTTGACCATTAATCTATGTGATGAGAGGCATTTGTTGAGAGTGTTGCTGTGAAAGTTGCTAGTTTTTGCTTGAGGACAAACAAAAGATCAAGTTTGGGGGTGTGTTAAGTATATATTTTTATACTTTATCGTACCTTTTTATTTGAGCTTTTGGTGTGATTTAACGATAATTGGTGCTTAAAAAGTTGATTTATTGTATTTTAGGTATAAATTGAAGAATTGGAAAAGTTTGGGGTCAAAACTGCAATTTTGGAGAAAATATGGGCCAAAAGTGAAATAATCAAAAATCTGAAGAAATTGGCACGGGACGGCCGTCCCAAATTTACACCTAAAAATGGGACGGCCGTGCCAAATGCAGAAATTGGGCAGAAGGTTTCGGCGATTCTCGCGCGACCGTGTGAGAATTGCACTGATTTTCGCGCGGCCGTGCCAACACACGCAGGAGACAATTTTGAACTTTTAATCACACAAGAAAACCTAAAATCATCTACCAAGTTGGGACATCTATTTAAGCCCAAACCAAGCACGAATTAGAGGAACTTTTGACACAACCTTGGAGCGAGAGAACGAAGAATCGAAGACGGAGAATTGACAAATCTTCATCACAATTCTTCTTTTATCTATCTTTTCTTAATCTATGTATTTTTATATTTTTATTATGTGTTTCGTAGAGAACATGAGTAGCTAAGTTTTTAATCTAGGATTTTGTTGGAACCCTATGCAGGGATGGTGAACCCGTTTTGTTGAGATTATGCAATTATGATTTTATGATTATTTCTTATACTTGTTATGATTGTTAGTGCATGAACTTGATCAATTTATGTGCTTTATCTGTGATTATTGGGATTGACTCGACAGAGCTATTTTGATAATTAGACGGTAAGTATAAGAACCTTCGAGTAGTTTTCACCGGATGAGTGTGTCAATTGCATGTGGTGTCGTAGACATACAGATATCACCTTAGGTAGCCATTTACTAGACTTATTAGTTAATGCTTTATTCATAATTTGTTTGCATAGACATATAGTGAACCGTTTATGAATAATAGACTCATAATACACGCGACAGCGGGTTATGAGTAAATTAGTGTCTCGGGTTAATAATCATGAATCATATATTTCATAATTGAGGGGTTTTGGGTGAGCAATTCTTGCATAGGGGGAAGATAAAATCCTAGGTCCGTTTTTATTGATATTTTCTCGTGTTTAATTGCTTTCATAATTAGTTTAATTATTTAGTTGACTAAATTTGACAACTTTGCATAGGATGGATAAAAATCATAATTGTTAGAATTTGGTACTTAGGATTAGATAATTTGAGTATTCCCTGTGGGATCGACATCCGACTCTCACGAGTCCACTTTTACTACTTGTTTGCGATACGTGCACTTGCGTGTTAGGTATTTAGCCCCAACAGTGACCGTATATGCGCGCTCCGTCACAAGTTTCTTCACCATTTGTTTTTCAAAACGGACCTTGGAGCCTTCCACACAAAAGGCGTCTTCATCGGGAGTTGGAACTTGGTCGGCTTTCTTGCCCTTCCCCTTTCCTTTTGAAGTGCCGTCTCCTTTTGAAGTGCCTTCTCCGTCACGTCCTCTTTTCCCCATGATGTGAGAATGCCTTGTGGAAGGGATTGGAAGTGAGGTGAAAACTACTCAAAGGCTCTTCTATCCCTGTTCTAATTATTAAAACGATCTGTCGATTCAATTCTAACAATAACACATAGCAACATAAATTAGCTACGTTCATGCGCTAAATAAGATCAAATAGAAGAAATAATCAAGGAATTTAAACTTGCATAATATTAGAAAAAATAGGTTCGAATCACCACATAGGGTTCCAACAAAATCCTAGATTAAAAACTTAGCTACTCATGTTCTCTATGAAAAGCATAATAAAAATACGATAAATCATAAAAGTTCGTAAATAAAAATAAAAGTAAAGTGAGAACTATGATTAAGATTCGTCAAGTCTTTGTCTTCGTTACTCCGTTCTCTTGCTCCTAGATTGCATGTAAAAAGATAAGATTCCAATTGTATGCTTTGCTTGGCCTTTATATAGGGTGCAAAAATATAAGAGGGCGGTTTCCTTGTGTAATTAAACTTCCTTCGCTGCGCCTCCTCGTGATCTCGGACGGCCGTGTCAAAATTAACACTGAACTCGGACGGCCGTCCGGACTTTAATTCTTCTTACTTTTGATTTTTTTACTTTTGGCCCACTTTTTTTCCGAAATTGCAGTTTTTACCCCATAAGTTTCCAATTCTTCAATTTGTGTCTAAAATACAAATAATAACCATTTTAAGCACCAATTATCGTTAAAACACACCAAAAGCTCCAATTAAAAGGTATGATTAAGTGTAAAAATATACACTTAACAATGGACATATCGAATTCCGCCGTCGAGAGAAGAAAAACGGAAGAAAGAGACGGCGGATGGGGAAGATGGAAATATGGATCGAGAGAAAGAGTGAGGGAGAGAAAACGTGGCTATGGTTAAACGGCGTGAGATTTGGGTGGGTTTGGTGGAGGGTATAATTGTACTATATATTTTAAAATTAAATTATGGATTTATCTCAAAGAGGTGAAAAAAGAATGGACCCCCTCTAATAGGAAATGTCACATGAGAGGGTTTTGTCAAATAATCCCTATATATCTAGATATTATTTGTAGCTACTCATATCATATAAGATCAATATTTAAATATGATTATGTTCCCATCGTTTACATATCCTAATCACATATCATAATATAATAAAAATCCTTAAAAATACAAGTAAAATGCAAATTTTTTGCATTAAAAAAATGCTTGAACATATATCATTAATTAGTTCATGTAAAGATAATAATTAACACAAACAAAACAAAACATAAACTCACTTTTTTTATTGAAAGTCCAAATTTTTTTCATTGGATTAAAAAAAAAAGTTGATATGAAAACCGGTTTTGACCGACTTTTGCTATTAAAGTTTGACCCGTCTCCAATGGTTTGACCTCCACAACCCACTGTGGACCGGCTCAAACCGCCTAAGGCCAAAATTCTCTTTCTTCAAACGTTTACACCGAAGTCGTAAAAGTATTGGACCGCATCCGCCACAAAAACCAATTAATCGGCCTTCTTGGTCGAATTTTAGAACACTTAGTATAAAGAACTATCATAACCCAATCGTATATCTTAACGTCAATTTCACTTAGCTTTCAACACGTAGTTCCGTATAAAAATTCACCACAATAATCAGTTCATCCAAACATATTTCCAAATCTAAGTATATTCTAAAAAAATATATATTTCAACAATTTCATTAAAAATTTGTGGAAATGAAAATTCCCATTTCTAGGATATGTATCCTCAACATCTCATCAACAATCTATACAAATTATATATTTCTACATTTTTCTAATCAATCCATCAACCAAACATTGGATTAATTAAAAGTATCCATTACAACTCCTACCATCCAAAGCATTCAACAAAATAAGAGCCATCTCCTTCTCAATCCAACTATCTTCTCTCTCAACTTGCATCCTCTGATACTCTGCTAAGATCACCTCAGGTACCACCAAACTTCTGCACAATGGACACGTGGCCTTATACCCTTGAATCCATTTCTCAAGGCAATGCTTGTGGAATGCATGCTTGCACTCCACAACTTCCATTCCTTCTTCTCCTTCTTCAAACTCCGACAAACAAATCGCGCATTCGCCTAATGACGAATTCGCCCTCGTCGTAAATTTTGAGGTTTTCTTTTTCATCCTCGATTTGTACTTGTAGTTCGTATTGATAAGTTTGTAGTATTTCCACACGACGCAGATGGCTAGTACGAGTAACCGGAGAATCTCGGGCAGCGCTTCGAGGAAAAAAACTGCGAGAATTTTGTCAGGGTAAGATAAGAGTTTTGCTAGTGCTCCCATTTTTGTTTTTTTGGACACAAAAGAATTTGTAGAGTATTTATGAATCTTTGATATATATATATATATATATATATATATATATATATATATATATATATATATGAATAATATGTTTGTTGGTGATTTGTGCAGCTTGATTAGGAAGACCATGCACTCATGATGTAATACCCACCCACCCTATTGATTATATTTTGTATTAAATATGTGAAATTAGATAGAGGGAGTAGTGATTGTTTGACCTTGTAAGAAAAGTTGTTGATTGGTTGTCAATTCAAGAAACTAATTAATTTTAGATAAATTATAACATATTAATATATGATGACTCATTTTAGATACTCGATTGAGGATCAAAATATTAGTAATTAATATCCCTTCACTGTGCCCTTATGTACACTGTCTCAGGTACAGTTAAATTTATATAAATTAATGCAATCGGGAAAGACTAATAATAATCTATTAATTTAATAAAATATTAAATTATCGAATTAATAGTTTAATATAAATTGAAACCGAGAGAAATTATTATTGAAACGAGATTATTAATTTATCGAGTATTCATTTATCGAGATTCAACTGTAGGTGTAGTATAAAAAGTAAATTTTCTATAATTGATAGTTACATGATTTTATGACAAGTGTATTAAACATGATTGTGCTCATAATTTAATCCCTAAATTAATTGGGAACCCGTTGTTGACTCTTTCCCTTTCGTTTAGTTAATGTCATCTTTCTTTTGCTTATAAAAAAAATAATTAAATGGGCCAAAAGGCCCAAAATCGAAGAAAACAACGGTTTTATTTATTCTACACCCGGCGGTGAAGGTTATATCGGGTGATTTTTTACCGTTGATCTACACATACCAATTGGATGTGTTTGTGTGTATATGAATGGTAAGGATCTACCCGGTGTATTTCACCTGGTGTAGGATCTGAAAAGCCAAAAACAACTACTATAAAAAATTAAAAAAAAAAAAAAAAAAAAAGAAAAAAAAGTAGGTATAAAGGCTAACCTGCCGTGTGGAAGAGTTATGAATATTCAATAATTGGTGAAATAGATTTGTTGGGTATGACTTGCGTGGATGATGCTGCCTGCATTAATCACTCATTTTTTTTCTTATAAAATTAAATAAATCAATTTTTAAATCAATGTTAGTTGCCAATGTCTACCAGTTCCAAGAACTGAATTTCTTGACTTTTTTTTTTTTTTTCAATTTATTTATCTCGGCTAATTTCTTGACCATTTCAAGTGTCCATTATTACAAGTAGCATTTTTTTATTCGAAGAGGAAAAAATGGTAGGTAAACAATTTCTTGACATAAAATGTTACAGTTTAATTCCTATGTAAAAAAAAATGTTCAGGTTTAATTTGTTCGTTTTCTACATTGTTTTAATATATATCGTGAATTTAAAGCATACACATTACTAGAAAAATGTTTTTTTAGTGTAATATTTTTGTTGCGGTAAAAAGCCGTAACAAAAGGTGCATTTCACTACATGACAATTTTTGAGTCATAGTAAATGCTGCATTTTACCGTAGCAAAAAAGTATTTGCTACGGCCATTTATCGTAACAAAGTTTTTGTCGCGCTCGTGTATGTCGGGGAGCAAATTTGTTGTAAATGCATAGCTAAATCTTTTTACTTCGAATTTGGTATCTTTTGCTACTAGTGACAGTAACTGTCCCGCTAAGGGATGACCTACCGGTTTGCATGTTATTATACGAGAGTAACCGTTGCAAACTTTATTAATACTCCCTCCGTCTCTTATTATATGTCTTTTTGGGGTGTATTTTTTGTCCCAAATTATTTATCATTTTAGAATTCCAATAAGGCGATAATTGTATTTTATCAATTTTGTCTATTATTACTCTTAATTAGTTAATTAAAAAATAATTAATGACAAGGGTATTTAGTATTTACTATGTTATTTTTAGTATAATTTATGCATATTTATTGACTATCCTAAGATACGCGTAACCACCCAAAACGACATATAATAAGGGACGGAGAGAATAGTATATTAAGGCCCCGTTTGGTTGGCAAGATAAGATTAGCCAAGATAAAATTAAATAATCTAATGACACTTAATTATTTTATTAGAGTTTGAAACGTCAAAAAAAAAACTCATTAGAAGGCATGATAAGCCAAAATAATGCAAGATAAGCCACAATTATATAATTTTGGCGGGTCAGCCCGACAATTTATTGAGGATACCAAATATCAAATTAAGTTCAACTATTTAGTTAATCATGACTTATCTTAACAATAAAACGGGTAAGAGTTTTGTTGATACTACTTACATCTAATAAAATAGTGAATCTTCTCTTGGTATAATATTTCATAGACCGTGCACCATTAAATCATTGAAGGAAGGAAAAATGAGCATATCTACAACATGACAAGTGTATTCATGAAACTTCTATATGTCGGCCACTTTTAAGTGTGTCATTAATATATATTGTTTCTCTCTCTACAGTTTCAAGATTCTTTTGGTAGAAATACAGTAGAATCTCTAGAACAGGTCCGAGTCAAATAGCAATAATTCGAAGCACTCTTTTTTACGCTGCTTCAGAAACCCACAGACTGAATCGTATGGATATATACATAAATACGTTAATAACCTTGTTTAGGTAATAATTTCTTCGGATACTGATCCAGTGTAAACATACTAAATATTTTTAGTTCGATAATTTAATATTTAGGTAAATTAATAGGATTTTACTAGTCCTGGCAAAAAGGCCCATCACATGGGACTTAAATGCATTTTAGTCCACAAAAAAAACAGTCTCTCAATTAAGCCCATCCCCATGTCTTTAGTCTAAAATACCCTCAATAATATAATTCTTAACAATTCCACCTATTATGATCTAACTTCCTTAATATTACACATTGACCCCGGATTTAAACAAATATATCACATTAACCCCCAAAACTTTTTTTTTTCAGAAAATAATTTTTTTCTGAAATGTTTTTTTTCCGGCCAGATTCCAGCGTTGACCGCCGGAGACCGCCGGTCTCCGGCGTTGACTTTTTTTTTTTTTTTTTTGAAATTTTGTTTTTCCTGAATTTTTTCCGGCCGGTCAACCACCGTTGACCGCCGGTCTCCGACGTTGACTTTTTTTTTTTTTTTTGTTTTGAATTGTTTTTTCTTAGAAAAAAAATATTTTAATTAATATTACTGTGTTGACTACTAAATTACTGTCTCAGACAGTAATATTACTGTTTATGAATATTATTTTTCCGAACAGTAATATTATTAATATTATTGTCTAAGACAGTTAAATTACTGTTGGAGACAGTAATTTAACATCCAAGACAGTAATATTAATTAAAATAATTTTTTTTTAAGGAAAAAAAAAAAAAGTCAATTAACAGTTAAATTACTGTCTCCGACAGTTAAATAACTGCTGGAGACAGTAATTTAGCAACAAATACAGTAATATTAATTAAAAATATTTTTTTTAAGAATAAAAAAGTCAATTAACAGTTAAATTACTGTCTCCGACAGTTAAATAACTGCTGGAGACAGTAATTTAGCAACGAATACAGTAATATTAATTAAAAATACTTTTTTTAAGAATAAAAAAGTCAATTAACAGTTAAATTACTGTCTCCGACAGTTAAATAACTGCTGGAGACAGTAATTTAGCAACGAACACAGTAATATTAATTAAAATATTTTTGAAGAAAAAAAAAAACAGTCAATTAACAGTTAAATTACTGTCTCCGACAGTTAAATAGCTGCCGGAGACAGTAATTTAGCAGCCAAGACAGTAAAATTATTTAAAATATTTTTTTTAAGAAAAAAAAAAAAAAAAAAAAAGTCAACGCCGGAGACCCGGCGGTCAACGGCCGTTGACCGGCCGGAAAAAAATTTCAGGAAAACAAAATTCAAAAAAAAAAGAAAAAAAAAAGAATTCAACGCCGGAGACCGGCGGTCAACGCCGGAATCTGGCCGGAAAAAAAATATTTCAGAAAAAAAATTATTTTCTGAAAAAAAAAAAGTTTTGGGGGTTAATGTGATATATTTGTTAAAATCCGTGGTCAATGTGTAATATTAAAGAAGTTAGAGCATAATGGGTGGAATTGATACGAATTAGGGTTAAAATTGGGGTCAAAATTGAAATTAGGGTTAAAATTAGTTAATTGATGAAATTGGGCTAAATTGGGGTGTAAATCATGAAATTGGAGTTGAATTGAGTTTCAATGAATTGGGGGTAATTTTGGTATATATAAAAGGATTTTCCTTATTTGCAAATAAGTTTGAATGGGCCGGATTTATTTGAAAGACAAAAAAATTGGATGTCCCTCTTTTAATTAAGTGCCATTGTCATGGACTTTTTTGTGATTACCCCATTGTATTAATTTATAGGAGTTTAAATGTATATCTGTATCTGACTTAGTAACGAACTAAAAACCTCAATTAGTATATATAAATATTCATTGAGAGATGTATGAAAAACTTTGGAAAAGCAATGTTAAACAGTTAACTTTTAGCTTATTCCAGTGAAATGTTTAAAATATCCAAATAAAAAGGTTCAGATAAAAATGAGGGTTAATATGCATGAGCTTCTTAAAGGAAACATAATTTGAACTAAATGACAAATTCAAATTTATTTTTTTAATTAAATTCTTAGTTTGAAATAATATATGAGCCACATCCCTAATTTTTTTTTAATCTCTATCTTGTCTTTATACCCTAAATCCTATAAACCTAGACATTTACGTTCAATTAAAATTTATTTTTCTTCTTTTTGTTTTTTCTCTCTCTCACACGTTATCTCTCCATATTTCTCTCTATCTCCCTTTCTCTCGTTTTTTTCTCTCTTCTCTACTTTTCTCTTGTTCTCACTAGTTGCACGAAGGCAGGAGCAGGGGCGGTGGATGCGACGGCGGCCGGTGGAGGCAGCGGCGGTGGATGGATGCGACGGCGGGCGGTGGAGGCACCGGCGGTGGCGGCGTTGGTGTTGGGTGCTAAATACCCACACGCAAGTGCACGTATCG